GATTGTAGAAAGAATGTAAATTTATAACTTTATAATGATTACGATAAAAATTTCAAAAGAAATGTTGGGGAACATTAAAGAATGATACTAAAGTTCATACAGAGAACATGAAGAGGAAATCAAAGATATTTTGATATAGAAGATGTGAGGGGTGCTTGTTCTTGCACATATTAAATTGCAGTATAAAAACTAAAATAATAAAAACTGAAAGAGGGAAAGGCAACAGGCAGAGGTCAGTAAAACTAAATTGGAAGTCCAAAAGTGACTGAAGTGTATTTCTGGGGTTTTGTATATGTGAAAGATATGGTGTTTCAAATCAACGGTGAAAGAATATATTAATAGATGGTAGTTAGATAACTGATTAAATAATTATATACCCTATGGCCCACTTTACACCATAGCCCAAAATTGATTCCAGATGTATGAAATTATTTAATGCCAAAATTTAAAAACATGTAGGTAGGAGTAGAAAAATAGAGATGACATCCTAACTGCTGTGAAGACAAAGGCCTTTCTAAGCATTAAAGCAAGAAAAAAACTGTAAGGGAAAAGGTTGACGGAATTTTTAGAAATTTAGAAATATCCTAAAATGTAACACATTAAAAACAAGATTTTAATTCTTGGAAAATATTTGAGACATACATAATATTCATAGCAACTTTTATACAAAAAGAAATAAATAGTAAATAAATATTAAAAGCAAAATGTGCAAGTGTAGTGAATCAATCATTAAGGAAAGCATATTCAAATAACAAATAAACATATAAAATTATGCTTAAATTAACTTGTCATCGAAGAAATGCAAATTAAAATAATCACACTTTATTTTGCCTATGAAATTGGCAAAATAAAAAAACAGTTAATGTAGAAAAGTCTTATGGCATATTATTTAGTGGAAAGAGGGGTATTGAAACAATATATATAGTATATAATTGCAGTTTTATCTGAAAGTATACAACACACATACACATAGAAATTGCAAAATGTTAAAAGTGATTGCCTAAAGTGGAATTATGGGCCATTCAGTTTTTATCTTGGTGTTTTTCAGTGGCTTTAACATTTTCTGCCACAGATATGTATGAATTTTGTAAATATTTTAAAAATCAGCATGGTCACAATGTGGAAAATGAATTTTAAAAGTATAAACCAAAAGCAGAAAATAGACAGGGTCTGTTACAGTCATCAAAACCAGGGAGACAAACAGAAGCAAAAGCATTGGAGATTAAAAGGAATCTATTATAGAAATACTAAGGTCACTAATGGTAAGTAGCAGGGGGAGGGAAGGAAAGGGAAAATAAACCAAATTTGGTTCCCAGCCTTTATTTGGGCCACTGGGTATAGTTCAAAGTATCTATTGGCCCTCTACCAGGAAAGAGGTTGCAATTCAGAAGGAAGGTCTGGGTGAGATATAGTTTCTCTCTCTCTCTTTCTCTCTCTCTTCCCCTTTCTCTCTCTCTACTTACCTATTTTTCTGGAAGACATCGACATATAGCATATAGATCAATGGATGACTACTGGAGCTAGGATGGGATCACTCAGGGAGATTTTGCAGAGAAGAGGCCTGAGCCCAGAACTTTGAGGAACACCTACATTTAAGGGATGTCATTGAAGGTACAGACACATCTGAGAGGTGAGAAGAAAGTCGAGAGGGTGGAGTGATGGAATCCAAGGTCTAACAGGAAGTGAGAACCATGAAAACACTGAAAGATGCCACTCTCGACTGCTGAAGAAAAGGCCAGTTTGGGGGTGGTACATTTTAGGAAAAAGGGGAGGGTCAGTACTATCATATGCTACCAAGAAGTCAGGAAAATGAAGCCTTAGAAGTATAGCACTAAGAAGGTAGTTGGGATTTGGGCAAGAGCTACTTAGATAAAGTAGTAGGGTGAGAGGCTGCCCAAGGTGGATGGAGCAGCGAGACAGAGGTGAAGAAGTGGAGACAGGAAGTGAGATACCTCTTTTGAGAACCTTGGCTGCGAAGGGAGTAGAGGCAGAGAGGGGCCAAGGCGGGTATTTTTATATCTAAGCTGCATTCAACTTAACCTTGTTTTAATGCTCATGAGAGAAAGGGTCTGTGGGGATGAGTGTTAGGGTGATAGTGGAGAACATAGAGGAGGTAATTCGTTAGATAAACACTCCAAGGGAAGGAGCAGAAGTGGAGAAGGTCTATGCCTAGCGGGAAATGTTTCATCTCAGACATGATGAAGTTAGGTATGTGTGTGTTTGGGGGGCTGGTGGTAGTTGGCCAGCAATCTTAGCTGGGGAAGGGAGGAGACAAGGAGAGCGGTTGCTTCCTAGAGCATATTCTTCATGTGGTGGGTACCTTTTAAATGGTAAAGTGTTTTTGCAACTGAGAGAAACATTGTGAAAGCCAAGGTCAGCCACTGAAAATGGCTGCCAGACCATGACGGTTATGGAAGACAGTGGGTGGCAGTGTTTCGTGTGCCCGCCCTCTTGTTCACCAGTGGTGCCTATCCCGAGTCTGTTTTCACACTTCTCCCACAACCTGGCATGGCACCTTTTAGGGTTTTTCCTCTCCTCCTCCATGTTAGATCTGAGATACCTTTTGATTTCTATTTTCATTATGAAGTAGGAGCCCAACTAGTTTACTGAGAGAGATGGATGATGGAGAACAATATGGAATTTGAAAAGATTTAAAATACCAATTTTACTCTCTGGGGGAAGAGTATTTCAAGCAGAGGGAGCAACAGTGGCAAAGGTCATTAGAGGGGGCTTTGCTGGCTTGTTGGAGGAACTCTAAGGAGGCCAGGGTGGCCAGAGGGTAGTGAGGGAGCTTCAAGATGAGGTCACAGAGGGGGCTGGGGGTCTGATCCTATAGAGGGGGATTACAGTGGTCCAGGGCAAGGATGCCTAGGATGGTGAAGGGGGAGGTGGTAAGTCACGTGTAGGCTTTACCTTGTCTCAAATGATTGGTAGATAGATTGGATGTAAGGTCTGAGATGAGGCCCCGATGGTGCCTCGGACTTTAGCCTAAGTAGCTGATTGAATGGTGGTGCCATTACTGAGATGGCAAAAGGTGAATGAAGTAGATGAATCTCTGGCAAGACTGGTGAGAAAAATAGAGAAGATGCAAACACATATGATATAAAGTTAAACAAGAGATACTACAGGTAAAATTGACTTTTTAAATATTAAAAGAAAATTTTTAGCAACAATAAGTCAATATATTAGTAAATGAAAGTAAAATGGAAGGTGTTTGGACAAGAATATCGAAATTGGCAAAACGTAAATTAAAATATGACAAAATCAATAACTAGTTTAAAAACTGAAATAATTTCTATTATTATCTCACCCTCCAAGTATATGTGTATATATGTATACATATGTATGTATATGTATATATATAAATAGATATGTAGGCTGCTATATTTCTAAGCCTAGATTGTTTTACATATGAATCTCACACTTTTAAGAGACCAATAATTTTATAATTTTTCAAGAAATCAAATAAAAAAAACGCCTTATCTGTTTCTAAGGGTAGAGGGAGGGTCATTGGTATTTTCTTCTCACCATCTCAAATACCCAATCATTTGACCTCTAAAACTGTTGCGTGCTTTTGCACAGGCCAGCAGTTTTATTCAAGATTTGGGATAATCCTAACCTCCTACAGTTTTGTGAGACTTATGGAAAGAAGGAAGAAAGCGGGGAATGCCGGGCAGGTCCTGGGAGGTGTGTGGAGAAAGGGCGGGATGGGCACTTCCCTAATACTGTCTGGACACTAAGGACTGCTAGAAACAGGTCTGTTCTATATCCAGAAAACCTGTGTATGAAATCTTCTGCTGGAGCTTTCCTATTGGAAATTCCTCACGGAAAGGGTTGTTACAGTCCTTTATTCCCTCAGATTTCTTCCCTTTCTTTGGTCGGAAATAAACTTGTTCCTGTTTTGTGGAAGCGCATGGCCTCAAATCTGCCCAAAGGGTGACTGCAGGGTCTTCACTAGTTTTTCAGCCTGGACTATTCACATCCCCCTACAGCCACCTCTGTGCCTGGTGCTGAGCGTGTCTTTTCCTTGGGGATCTCCTGTCACCTCTTAACTGAAAGCCTGGGACACCAGCACCTTTCATTTTGAAAAGAGTGGACGTTGGCGTTGGCCTCCTTCCTACCATCTGGTTTTGTTAAATAAAGCTGAGTGGCAAATGAGACATTTGGAAGGTCTGGGGAGTGACCCGAGTGGCAAAGGAAAGTCCCTTTGCACTTTTAAAAGGTGGATGACCATCTGGCCTGGCAAAGACGTGTCATTTTACATTTCCACTGGTAGAGGACTGAAGTCATTTACCATTAAGTTTCATTTGAATAAAATGGTAGTAGACATTTAGGCGATATCACAGGGCAATAAGTGTTTAGGATCCTTAGGGTGTGAGCTTTCCAAGCGGATTTCAGACCCAGGTGCTAAAAAGTACTTCATATACAGAATACAT